TGCAATTTTCCCCTGCTATTTTCTGAAGTACTGGGGAGAGAAACCTGAAAGGAGGGAAGGCGTACCCGAACATTCCTTTCCAAGATAGGCTCATTGCGTCTACCGCAAAAGATTTTGGATCTGGAACCGGAGACACAAATGTTAGAAGTTTGTGATTGAGACTGGTCGCAAACAGATCTATCTGAAGTGACCCCCAATGAAGAGTCACAGCTTTGAAAACTACTTGAAGTAGTTCCATCTCCGTGTTTACTGGAGCAAGGGATCTGGATAGAGTGTCGGCTAGAATATTGAGGTGCCCCGCAATATGTCTCACCACTAGATGAACCTGGAGTTGAAAAGAAGGAGAATGTCTCTGGCTATCTGATAAAGAGAAGGTGAATGAGTTCCTCCCTGATTCTTGAGATAAGCTACAACTGTTGTGCTGTCCGTGGCCAGAATGACAGACTGATTCTTTACAGACATTTGGAAATGATTCAGTGCAAACAGAACTGCTTTCATTTCCAATACATTGATATGCTCTTCCAAAAGATCTGGATTCCAGACTCACGAGATTGTAAACCCCTCCAGATATGCTCCCGAACCGAGGGTGGAGGCATCTGTGAATAATGTTAGACTGGGAACTTGAGGGGACAGACATAGGCTCCTCATTACATTTCCCCGTACTAACCACCATTGAAGATGTGGAAATAAAGGCTGAGTGATTGGAATCAATGCTTCCCATTCTTGTGAAGCTGGAATCCATAACTTGTGCAGATAAAACTGAAGCGGACGAATGTGAAGTCGTCCCAATGGAATTACATCTGCCAGAGAGTTCAATAGACCCAGAAGTTGAAAGAATTGACGTGCTGTGACTGATTGAACCGTCAGGAATAAATGTATTTTCTGACATAGTTTTGTAAATTTTTTCTCTGGTGGGAGGACTAGGCCTACACTGGTTAGGAAATGTTCTCCCCGGAAAACAAAGTCTTGAGAAGGAATTATCTCTGACTTTTTCCAAGAGATTAGGAAGCCTAGGGACAGAAAACAATTGATGACCAAATCTGTCTGAACCCTCAATTTGATTGGGCAAAATTCCTTGAGAAGGGAATTGTCCAGGTAGGAATGAATCTGAATAGACAGGGAATGTAGATGAGCTATAGCTGCCTGCATGATTTTGATAAAAGCCAAAGGGGCTGTAGACAGGCCAAAAGGGAGAGCCTTGAACTGGAAAACTTTGTTGTTCCAAACGAAGCGAAGGTATTTCCTGTAAGTATTGGAAATGGGAATGTGGAAATAAGCATCCGAAAGATCCAGAGAAGTAGTCCACATTCCTGGAAGGATTGAAGCCCTGATTGATCTGTTGGTTTCCATTTTGAAATGGGGAACAATAAGAAAGTTGTTCAGAATAGATAGGTCTATGACCGGCCTCATTCCTCCAGTCTTCTTTGGAACCAGAAAAAGACGGGAATAAAATCCCGGAGACAGAGTTAAGAGCGACACCTCCTCTATTGCAGATTTTTGTAACATTGGGTCCACTTCTACTGATAGAAGTTGATACTTGACTGGGTCTTGAGTATGAGACAAACTTATCGGAGCTGCAGACAGAGGAGGTGGGTTCTTGAACTGAAGTGTTAACCCCCCTCGAATTATTGACAGCACATAACAGTCTGAGGTAATTTTCTTCCACTGATTTAGGAAAAAACTTAACCTCCCCCCTACTGGTATTGATTTTTGAGGAACTTGTAAATTTTCCCCTTGGGAAGCTGTCAATAACGTACGAGGGGGAAAGAACCTAGGTACTAGACCCAGGTTTCTTGGGACCCTTAAAACCTCCAGAAGGCTTACCTGAGCTTTTTCCGGAGTTATGGGGTTTGTTCTGCGGTTTGCCGTAGTTATTCTTCCTTTTCTTAGCAGAAGAAGGAGGACCACCTGAAGCAGAAGTACTAGTAAAACTAGATGTAGCATTAACCGACCTCTTGCCATTAGTAACTTGTACACTAACTTTGACTGGAGGAGGGTTTTTGCTGAGTTCCTCTTGAAACCGCTGTAAGGGTAAACCAAACATCTTGTCAGTAAGTGGAGATTTCAGTAAAGAATCTTTCAAAGGCTCAGCAACAGAAATGTTTTCAAGAAACTCTGCTCTTTTAGATAGGGTGCAATTAGCAATAGAACCCATTTAAAGCAACTGAGATGAACCTAGAGCTTTATCCAGTTGAAGTAAGAAGGATCGTACTTCTGCTGGAACAACAGAATCTTCGCTGTTAAGCAAATGTCCGGTTGCAGCTAGAAAATGTTCGGCTGTGCCAAGAACTTGAGAAGCACTACGAAGGAGATTCTCAGTCTTTGACCAAACAGGTTGAGTGAGACGAAGACCATCTACTGGCTTTTTTCCCAATAAAGATGACATAGATTTGTCACAACTGGGAACAAGTCTACCCAGTGAAGAATCAAAGATATCAAAATCCTTGTACTTAACCTGATCAGAAAAGGATGACATTCCAAATCCAGAGATATTGTTATTAGCAACCTTTTCACTAGCAGAATTAGCGATACCTTCATTAATAAATTGTAAAGCAAATGCCATATAGCCAGATTCAGGAAAAGAATTGTGAGAAGTCACAGTATCCTGAGAAATACCACAGGAAGCTTCAAAAGTTGAAGAAGGTTTCTTCGGCTTGGAAGGAGAGGCAAAAGGGATATGTGCTTCATCCCTCATCAAGGTATACACCTTATCCCTAAGATCCTTCAAGGATGGAGGATCCCCAGACTCCTTGGTGGGAGGTTGTTGAGCTGACTTAGAAGAAGGCTCAGGGGCCGTCTTCGATACCTTGGGAGAAGAAGAACTTTCAACATCCTCATCAGTGAGGAAAGCCCTTTCATGACTCCCAGGGGAAACAGAAAGCTCGTCATCCTCCCTCTCATCATATTCTACAGACTTAGCTGGAGAAGGTTGATGAGTAGAAACTCTATTCTCCAGTAGAGACATACGACTGGATAGAGTACTAAATTCAGCCTTGAAAGACTCACCAAAGTCCAAAAGTAACTTCTGAAAACCATCCAAAGATGATGCATGATCAGAACCCTGAGTACCATGAGAAGAGCTAGAAGATTGAGCTCGAGAGTCAGGTACGGTGGTAGAAGGAGCTACTGCAGGAGTCAAAGATACTGCTACGGGTGGAGCAGGAGCTAAAGGTGGTGCATTAGCTACCCCAGAAGGGGGACCATAGAAATTGTCCCTATAAGGCCAAAAACCAGGTTGGTTTGGCATAAACCCACCATAAGGGTAAGACTGTGGCCAAGGTGGCTGAGACCATGAGGGTAAAGGTTGTGTGCCCGAGTTGGGAAGCATATACCCACAATAGGATAATGGGGGTCTAGAACCTGGCAAGTTCAAGCCCATAGCTGTACCTGGGACAGAACTAATAGTACCCGATGCATTAACAGGCCTAGATAAAGTATGAGTCACCGAAGTTGACGTAGGTACCCCCCAAAATGCATGGCCGAACCTTGTGAAAGGGTCGGATAGGTAGCATTACCAGACACCGTTGTCGAAACTCCGGTCAATGTACTGGTAGTTTTTGGGGGGGGGGGGGGACTTAAAGGTAGTGACCCATCTAGGAGATAGTCCGAACCAGGAATATTTACGTACGGACTATTCAAATTAAAGTCCATAAAAAATTTACTTTAGTAAAAAAAAACACAAATAATTTGTTTAGAAATTCAAACTAAACAAGGGAATAAATTTCCAATAATATACACAATATATGAAAAGCAATTAAGCTATTCAAAAAACTTTACAAACAACTAAACACTGCTCTGTTGAATCTGTAATAATTTGCACGTGTGACCGATGTCGCAGATGGAAATTGAATGGGAGAATATGGGCAAACAGGGGTATATGTCCGGACCAGTGAGAGTACGTTTATTTTTAGTCGGTATTTTCCATCTGACCTATGACGCAATTGGGGTTACACTCAGAATTTATGATGGTAACGTATTTATAGCTATAAAATTGATCATATACAAGCAATTCATTATTGCAAAAACCCCTACTATTCAATTTTGTTGAACTCAAACAACGTTTAATTTTGGACCCTTTGGACCTTGATGTGGACCAATTTAAAAAATGGGTCCAAAATCCAAAATCTAAGTACATTATTATATTCAGCATATTGAAATCAATCAAAGTTTAGTTTTGCACCCTAATTTGGACCCACTTGAAAACACGACCCAAAATCAAAATTCTAAATACACGGTATGATTAAGCATATCAAAGAACTCCAATATTTCAAGATTATCAAACTCCCATTGAAATAAGTCAGAAATAAGCAATTCAAACAAAATTTTAAAAATTGCTTGTTTTGTACCCCTTTTTTGCCCTAAATTCCTAACGTGATACGGCCATAACTCCCAAATTCAATCCAACGTACCTTCCTTTTGTGGTATGGAACCTTGTGGTACAATTTCATACAAATTCACACACTTGTACTCAAGTTATTGTCCGGAAACTAGAAAAATGTTTGCTTTTGGCCCCTTTCTGTCCCAAAATTCTTAAAGGATTAGGACCATAACCCACAAAATCAATTTCAACCTTCTTTTTGTAGTACAATTTCATATAGACCCATACACTTATACTCAAGTTACTGTCTGGAAACCAAATGTCTTCGGACGACAAACGACGACATCTCCATACCATTATACAGCCGCAAATTTTTTTTCAGACCAAGTGTAAGATAGTGTACATTTGTTCTTGTTATCAAGATTTACTTCTTGACAGATTTAGTTTTCTTTTTGTCATGTATTTTATAGCTTACTATACTGATGGGTTTTCCTGATTGTTGACCTATAATTGTTTACATCCTCCTCATTTCATGTCTAGTGGATAGTTGTTTAATTGGTACGTATACTTCATCTCTTTATTATTATATAGAGGCTTAAAGGAGCCTGAATCGGTCAACTTGATAACTTTGATTAAGCAGATATATAATAACCGTAACAAGTGACTTTTAAAGAATATCAAATCAGACTAGACTGATTTTACTTCAATTTGTACAAATGTCTGTACCACGTCCGGAATTTAACAGTTGTTTTCCATTCGTTCCATTGGTTGATATAGTCTAACGTTTGATTTTGTCAGGTTTTGGACTCACCCCTTTTTGAATTTAGCGTGGAGTTCGGTTTTACCAATATTTGTTAAATTTTGATCAGAAAAATACACAAGATACTGCAGATAAAAGCTCAGTTTGTTTAAAATACTGCATAGTTTGCATGGTATCTACCATCAAAATGTGAAGAATGCTACTCGGATGTATTACATCGTTATATTTATCTGCTTTGAGTTTTGAAATGGACACACTAACTTCAAAAACATTATTTTCTTACGATAAAGAATAGTCATCAACACCCTGAAATGGTCACTTTATATATCATGGCTTCTTTGGTTTCACTGCATGGAAGTCTGCCACATCCTATATTATGTTGTCCAGATAAGTTGAAATCAAGAGAATATGGATACAATATTCCAATATCATTCGTATGGAAATATGTAAGTAAATGTCCATAATTACTTAAGAAATGAATTGTATGCGTATCTACATCAGCCAAAACAACATTGTCTTTTGGTGTTGTCACTATGTCAACCGGTTTAAATCCCGACATTACACTAATATTAGGATCTCCTTTGTACTTATTTATAATATTACCTTCCTTTCCAAGTGTAACAACGCTGCCTTTAAAACCACTTGGTTTATAGTCTATTACATGTATGTTTCCATTCCTTGTATCAGTTATTTTCCTTGGATAAGTAAACAAAGGTCGATTTTCTTGATCTAGTTCGTACACCGTCTCTTCTTGCCCATTAGCGTTCATTACTAACAAAGCTTTTCTTCCTGTTTTCTTTCTTTTGCCTCCAATTATGACTTTATCTTCACTGGTAACATGGATAGCAGACGGAGAAAATTGTTGTACTTCATATATAGAGTCGGTCAGCTTTCCAGTAATGCAACAGATTTGTTGTAATCTGGATTTTCCGGTAGCTAGGAGAAGATTATTGGATGCAGTGAGTGCAATACCATAAATTGGAAAGTTAAATTGAAATAATATGTTCAATTTATCACCTTCTGGTTTCACTTTCTGCAGAATTTGATATTTGTTATCAGCTATCCACAGTGAATCGGTACATGGAAATAAATAACCAACTCTGCAAAGTTCAGTCTGGTATTCTTTATTAATATTCAAATCAACAGTTGGGTAATCAAACCAGTTTTCATTACTTTCTAATTTACCAAAATGTGACAAAGAAATATCGCCTGGAATAAAGTTTGCTAAAACGTCGAAAGTAGATTTTGTTTTTTCTTTTCCTACATACATTTGTCTGTCAATTCCACAAACATTGTGAAAGAAATCAGCAATATCAGCTGTATAAAGGCAGTCCTCCAGTTCATTGTATTTTCCTTCAAATTGTTTTATATTTCTTGATAAAGCATCAATATTTTCTCCAATACTAATTGAAATTTCCTTGTGGCTCGTGTCTAGTTTACTTCTACAGATGTTAGCATATTCTTTAACAGCATTTATCAAAGCTTTTTCTTGAGTATCAATTTCTTCTTTCAAATTGCAGTAAATTGAGTTTTCTGAAATTTGTTTTTGTTTTTCTTCGTGCATTTTAGTTACTGCTTTAGTTATATCATTTTGCAGTATACTTTGTCCTTTCTTCAATCTGTTAATTTCAGTATGATACATCTCATTGATTTCAATTAGTTCATGTCCCTTGTGACATCTCACTATGCACCTTGGACAAACAAGATTTTCACATGTCTTACAGAAAAGACAATATGAATGTTCCGAATGTTCTTGACACTTTATATTTAAAAAATCAGATTCTGTAAATTCCAATGGTCCCTTCTTATGTATATCTACTATTTTATGGTCTTTTCCTCTTTTTATTTTCTTATGTATTTTGTCTTTACATTCATCACATATTATTAGCCCACAGTCCAAGCATTTCCATTTGACTACTTTCTTAGTATCGCAGAATTCACACTTGACGTGTTTTGTAAGTTCCTCACTTTTTCCATATACAGCAGAATGTGCCATTACAAAGTATTTAGATATATTCCTCTTTCATTTCTATATATAAGGTGACTTTACCCTAGGCCTGTTCTGATAACTTTGATTTAATCGATAATTAATTGAATATATAACATTGATATTTAAATTATTTCACAATACAAGACATTTAAACTGTAAAATTTACTAACTGATGATCATATTTTAAATATGCATTGTATATCCACATTCATTATGGGGTATTTTTTCAACAATACATATCCCTGCATTCCAAGTTTCCTATACAAATAAAACTGAATATAAATGCAAATGTATTACCTATAACTTAAGTCAACCAGAATCAGCTTAGGATTGCTGCTTTATTTTAGATTTCAACATTATCATGTAATATAGAACACAAGGTAAAAGTTGAATATTGATCTTCTTATAAATGGCTGATACTTTTATACCTATTTTTAGAAAAGTGGCGATATAGTCCTGGTTCATAATTTTGTTATGTAACAGTGATTTATCCAGACAGTTCTTATTAATGTACTACAATGACATTACTTGTTTGGGAGAAACAAACGTTTTTCGTAGGAGTCTAAAGGAAGGACGAAAGATACCAGACGGACATTCAAACTCGTAAATCGAAAATAAACTGACAACGCCATGGCTAAAAAAGAAAAAGACAAACCGACGAACAATAGTACACAAAACACAACATAGAAAACTAAAGACTAAACACGAACCCCACCAAAAACTGGGGGTGATCTCAGGTGCTCCAGAAGGGAAAGCAGATCCTACTCCACATGTGGCCCCCGTCGTGTAAAAGAGGTGGTAGAGGGAATTCATCCAATTTATAATGATATACTTACAGAAATGTAATGATGATGGTAGACCAATGCGTCAGTGATCAAGACTTACCCACTATCATTGAGGACAACATGTTGATTCTTTTTGGCCTGATGCTGTGAATATGTTGCTGTCTCAGTGACATATACCCCACATTTAAAATAAGATTGTTTTAGTCAAATACGGATTTTCATTCAAATTGATATATTTTCAATCAATATCTACTCTTAAAACAATGAAATGATTTCAGCCGACGTGAAGTTATATCATTTCTCTTCTATGTAATGTAGTTGTGCATTTCATTGGTTTCTACATTTAGATTTCCTAAGATGGGGTTTATCAAGGGGCCAAATGATATTTAACATGGACTGTTGTACTTACTGAAATGGTGATGCAATAACAGCAGTCGGAGTAGCAGCGATCCCCTATCTCATTTTCCCTTTATATTTGTATACAACTGAAACTGTATGTGATCATATTTTGGTATTGATGTGTAATATTTCAATTTCTACTCCTATGAACAAATAGGTCGAAGGTTGTAAAACTTTGAGGGATGATGATTTAGTGACCCTGTGCAAAGAACTCTCTTTTTGATCTTTCAGTGGTAAGCATTGCGACAACTTGTACCACATAGGTCTCATTGAAACATTATATTCTTTCAAACTACCATTACATGGCTAGTCTCAATCAAACTTGCCAGAATTATAAAAATGTATCATTTTGTTCCTATTTTAATAAAGAACATGAATAGGTAAAATCTTGTCAAATTTTATATCAAATGCAGATTGGAAGATGTCTGACAAAGAATCCAGTTTTTATACTGATTAAATAACATGAATGACGGGAATGATATCCATATGTTCTAATTGTACTCTGATAAACAATATTGTCATAAATCTTGACAAGTTTGCTATGTTGTTGATAAATATCCCGTCGTGTAACTATGGAAATACAATTATTTGAACAATAGCCTGCTGTACAACGGTCACAACTGTATTATCATAACAATTTTAATCATTAAAACTATCACTGTAATTATTGGCATTTCAATGGAATGTGATCCTTCTGCAAATTTCGGGATTGGCAAAGAGAGGCGAAATATTCCAAACGGACATTCAAACTCGAAAATAAATTGACAGCGCCATGGCAAAAAAAATGAAAAAGACCAAAAGACAAAACAACAGTATACAAAACACAACATAGAAAACTAAAGACTGAGCAACACGAACCCAACCAAAATCATGGGGTGATCTCGGAAAGGTTAAGTAGACCCTGCTCTACATGTGTCACCCGTTGTGTTGCAATATACTAGATGGAGAAAAGCATCACAAAGTATGAAATGCTCATATGAAGCTTAATACGAAATTAAAGGAAGCTCTTATTCTCAGTTGAAGGTTCTCGTGAAAATTGAGAGGAAAATTTCCTACATTATAAAAATAAGGAGATGTGTTATGACTCCCATTTGCGACAGCTATTCACCAGAGTTCAAACGAGAGAGAAAAAAGCAATTGTAGGCCACCGTACGACACAAAGTACCGATATCCGAGTCCTCGCAATTACTTATAGCTAGTTCAAAACCAATGCCAACTAATAGATAAAATATGTTTTCCCAGAGATAGCCATTATGTTTAAGAATAAAACAGGGAGCTGATGACCGATGGATGTGAAAATATATCACAATGTAAAACAAATTCACACGAAGCTTACTACTAAATTTTAGGACTATCTTAATTTAAGTTCCTGAGAAAACGGCGACGAAAATGCTATACATAGCCATTTTGTGTAAGCATGTGTAAGAATAAACAGAGAGTTAATGAGAAAATGATAGTTCATGAAAATGCATTACAAAGGATATCACGGTCACATGAAGTTTGATACAAATTTTCAAGAAGCCCTGATTCTTAGTTTCGGAGAAAAATATGATGAAAATTTAATACATGGCTATAATATGCAAGAATATATAAATATTTGGTTATCATGAAGTTGATGAATGATGGTTATGAAAACGAACAACACGGTACAGCACGCACACATGAAACTTGAAAATTTCAGGAAGCACTGATTTGTGAAAAATGTGATAAACATTTCATGAGAAGAACGGAAGGATAAACGGACGGAGGTACAGAATAATACCCCTCTTTTTACCTTTTGAGCTGGGATATAATTATATCACAGACAGTTTTATCAACAAATCAAAATAATTGAAAATTACAGTCAACTAATTTTGGGTGTGATTTATCATCTCGTACTGATCTAGTATGTGAAATTTGCAATAGACCCATGAGCTGGTCTATAATATTTGAGATAGGTCTATTCATTGTCTATCACAAATTTTAGATCTATAAAAATCGAGCCATATTAGGTCTGTAAAATAATGAATGACAAAATAATTTCGAACATTGTATTTAGACCTGATGTACACACCATCTAAATGTTTTATGTCTAAAATGCCGATCCTTTGATTCTATTTACATTCAATTTTATCTTTAAATAACATTCTGAATGCAAGGTAATTATTGTTAAACAATACATTGCAATGAATGCATATACACAATGCAAGCTTTGGACAAGATTACTTTACTGTTATGGGTACATATGTCTTTTGATGTAAAATACTTTTAATATCAATATCATTGTAGCAATAAGCAATTTGATCAATACCGAAAAAATGGAGTTCGCCTTAAATACAGAAATGAAAGTAGAATTTAGTATAACAATTTCTGTTGTAGATGGAAATAGTGAGAAATTTGCAACACATGTAAATTGTGAATTCTGTGATACTAAGAAAGAAGTTAAAGGAAATGATCATACTTTGGGGAAAATTATATGTGATGAATAAGACCAGACAAAATTCACAGTAAAATAAAAGGAGGAAAAGACCACGAAATAATAAACAAGAGGAGTAAAAATTAAATGTAGCATCTGATTTTGTGAATGAAAATTGAAAAAAATCATATTATTTTGAAAGGTTTTCAATAACGTTACTATATTTTACAATTTTAGGGTCAAACTTTGGTTCCTTTTATACCTGCTCCTTTGTAATTTTCATGTATAATGGAGGCAAAGTCATGTGTTCGTCGAACTAAATCTGTTGTTTTTTTAAATATATTTTGAATTCAATTAAGGCAACAGTTGTTAACCAATGTTCAAATCTCATAAATCAATTAAGAAGGAAAATCACAGTACCAAACAAAACCTGAGGGAATCGAAAAAAAAATCCAAAAAGGAGCGACACCGGGTGAGTCGACAGGGTAGGCATCTTTTGTCAAAAGTTCTTAGGCAAACATTACTTTGGATATTTGAATATGAAGATGTAAAATTAAAGGTTAGAAAAAAAAAACTCGTCAAAGAAACCAAGCCTATAATTTTTGTTCATAACGTAGCTTAATCATATCTGCCATACAACGTTATAAGCAATTATAGGTCACCGTGCAGCTTCAACAATGAGAAAAAACCATACCATATAGTCGGCTATAAACGGCCACGACATGAAAAAATGTGAAACAATTCAAAAGAGAAAACTAACGGCCTAACTTATAACAATACAATTTACAAAAAACATATATGATAGACATGAACTAACGACAACCACTGAATTACAAACTCACTGAGGCCTGATGAACAAAAATTGAAAAACAAATATTAGGTACATGTAAATGTGACATTATTCAAACGGAAAGAGTATAAATCAAACAACTGAATCTTATCGCATGGCTTTTAATATTGAGCATATACTCACATCCTATCAAGAGCTTACTAATATCCTTTACAGTCAAGTGATAAAGATAATATAGGCAATTCTAAAAGTTAACACTAAATCTTACACACATACATAAAAAAGACATATATGCTCACTATTTTGACTTTTTACCATTTTTGTCAGGAGGT